AGCGCTTTTGAATGATGATTAGATCAATCATGTTCTTGTGTAAACCAACCGGTGATTCCCATGTCCATTTTCGACTTGCTTTTTGTTGAAATGCTGTGTTGCAAATGAATAGGTTGTGTGATGTTGCGAATTCTAATAATTGTTCACCACGTTCATTTCGTTTTCCATAGCCATAGTTGCCCATTGCACACTCCCAGCCTGCGGTGTCATCACCCACCTTTGCGTTCCAATCACCAGTTATGATAAGAATATCTTTTTTCGGAGTTTTTAATATTGTATCTTCCAAGTCGTCGTAGAATGTTTAAATATTTTCTCGAGGCGTCAGATGTTTGAGCATATACATTGACTACTGTTATGTTGAATGGTGTTGCCATGAATCTTGCTGTACTTAGTCTTGAATTTATTGGATTGTCGCCCACAAGTGTCTTTTGAGCACTTATGCTGAGTAGCGTGCCCACTCCTCTGATATGTGTGTTACTTTCACCTGACAAAATGGAATCACCATTTGCTGTTTCACCTTTACCTGTTCAGCGCACTTCTGAGATGCCAATAATATCGTATTTGTAGCGTTTCATTTCATTTCTTAGTAGTTCCAATTTACCAGTTGCCCATAATGTTCGAACATTCCATGTACCGATCGTGAAGACATCCTTTGCTATTTTTAGTTTGTTGGAGATTTGCTTATATGCTGTTGTTGGTGCTGATATTCTCCGAGTTGTTGTTAACGTTGATGCTGTTGATGTTCTCTGAGTTGTTGCTGATAAGTGGTTTGTCGTTGTTGTTTCTGAAGAAACGGTTGTTCCAGTAGCCAACTTTTCGACTCTGTCCTGGTCCCACGACAGAGGACGCGGACCTTGTTCACCCGAGCGACGTCCGAGCCGGTATGATTTCCAAAACTGACCGTTCATGGTTGGTTTCTTTCGTCTTTTCGTTTTTACTGACGGCGGTATCTGCACCCCTTCCGTTTAACGCTCCTCCTTTTTCTGGACTTGCGACCGGCACAGAAATCATTGGATTATGATTCCCGTGGTGGAGTTTTGGTGATAGATTGCGCAACTATTTTTTAGTGTAGACGGACATGGAATCAGAAAACATTTTTTACAGAGCAAACAGAAGCAATATTGTTTTAATAAATCTGAGATTTTCTGAAATAATGCGCAGTATTAGGAAGTTTATTACTTTTTCGTTGGAAAAATGCATTATTCTCTAGCATGGTGAGGCCATAAAAGAAT